TTGAACTTATGGTCTAGCAAATTTCTAGCAAATAAGTTGCATTTCACTATTTGGTTTGTCGCACACAGCGCTTTAAATAGGAAAATAACGCGATGCTACCAGACCCAGATAATCGAGCATGAGATGCCCCGTTAATGAGTACGACGTGATGTTTGATCATCGACTGCGCTATAACTACTATATCAATTATTCTCAAGTAGTGCTGATCAGTCAGTTCTACATGTTGGAACGAGTAACAAGTGTGTGCAACAGTGTCTGATAGCTTTAGGCCCGATTCACACTATCGCTCCGCTCACGGTCCGATCAAATATTCTTCCATTGTTTATAAAGTTACAAGGTAACATTACAGTTTCGGTCCAGTCTTGCTCCGCTCGTGAGCGAGCTCCAGCAATGTTCCTTCGAAAGAATATTTTGCTGGAGCGTGACCAAACTTGTCCGGAGTTGTACTGATAGTGTGAACAGGCTTCCGATCAATTTTTCAATTTTTGACAATATTATTTCGAATATGCCTGCACTCATTCGAAAATATTTAACAAATTTCTTCTCATCGTCTACTAAATGGGAATATAATACGAAATATTCTTCAGTTTTTCTATTGATAAAACTGAGATGAACCCATATAAATCTTTTTCTTATCTTTTTTTTTTATTTTACACTTCTTACTTTCTCTATCTTCATCGTCCAGTAGCAATTATGATTAATTCTTTGTCAGAAAATATCGCTATTTTTCGGAAAAAAATTATAGCGAATTTCACGACAGGAAGATATACTGAAGAAACTATACTGATTATTTGAGATTGGATCGTGAGCGTCTCGATAGTGTGAATACTCAAGGAATATGATCGGACCGTGAGCGGACCGTGAACGGAGCGTGAGCAAACCGATAGTGTGGATCGGACCTTAACGTGGTCGCCAACGATTTCCTTTGAGAGAGCGAAAGTCAAATACGATCTAATCTCCGTCGTTGAAAAAGCGAATGCTTAAAATCACAAACTTTTTCATAAAGTGCTTCACAAGTGCTTCATAAAATGCTTCACATTTTCAACTATTTGTGTACTATTCTGAGAATTTTACAAAATTTTAGAAATGGCAAAACAAAAGAGAAAAACCGAAACGCGCAGTTCTTGTGCCACACATAGTGGATAGTTTTTAGTTACAAAAAGTTAACCTTTTTGCTGCAGCATGTTTCAATCAAAAACTACCCGCTAGATGCATGATGATGTTTACATGTAAATTGTTCGCACGGATATTAGAATCAAGATTATACGGTTAGTTTAAATGCTTTAAGCTAAAAATAATTTAAATCGTTTATTATTTAAACGTTTTGACCAGGTCAAAAATAGGTTCAACTTAATTGTAATAGCAATAAGAATTGATAAGGACTTTGCTTTCGTTTCGGCTCTGCATTTCTATACATATCCTGACAATTACTATACTAACATTCGTGTACAAATAGATATATCATCAAACTAAACAGGAAAATCTTGTACTGTTTTGCATACTTTGCACAGTTATTAAGACATTAATGGAAAAAAATATCTGCAAGTGAATATACGAACGATAGAACGAGTTTTGTAGGCACAGCTTTAAGGAAATATCTCGGATTTAACAATCTATTAATGACAGGGGACGAGTGATGCTGGTGTACATATCTTCACAGCTTACAGAGTTTAGCTTACAGAGCTGCTTGCACAACTTGGTTTACCGATTGCCGTGGTATTTATTCGTACACGCACGAAGAATGCTTATATGTTCAAGTAAAACCTTATGTCCTTAATCTCCAATTAATCATAAAGTTTTCAGTATTTCTGTCATGATGAATACATATAAAAAGCATATGTTTAACATAACCTTTGGGCCAACTAGATCTGATATTCCCTATTTATTCCTTACAACCACACAATTTATTCCTCTCTTGCACATTTTTCTTTAATATAAAAAGCAACAGATATTTTAAAATCTATCCTTAATTATAATTGTCAAATTATTTACTGTATACGACTTCTGCAGCGAAAAAGAATACGTATTTGCTTTGTTTTCATACACACACATACACACAGTAGATGATATATTTATCGCTACACGGTGATCCTATCGGAAAGTCGCGAAATTGAAGTAACGATAGCACCGAAATGCGATCCGGATAATCGGAGAGACAGCTCGAAAATATTAAAGACTATCCCGAACCGGTAGTCGCGGTGGAAGCTACTCTCAGAGGGGCGCGTAAATTATTACTATCCTAGTTATGGCTAAGCGCACGCGTTAACGGCAATTTAGTAGCATAATTTGATACAATTTGCATAATCCGATATCCGAATGCGTCACAGAAATAGTCGCGATAATTCCCGCCGGTGCGATATGGCGCACTTTGCGTGTTGGTAAATGCGACAGCTCCGAGTAAACTCACGTTTCGTTGGAAAGCTGTGTGATGGATCAAAGCTATTTAAATATAGAAACGCTGTCGAGTGTTGCGTATCTGCTACGTAAAGAGAACGGTACGATCGAATCGCGTGAACAGATAACTTGAAATTATTTCTGGCAGAGTGTGTATACATGCGCGAATCACGAAAGTTCGTGGTGAAATGATGATAAAAGTTTCGTTCATGTGAATCTTTTCAGAAACTTTATTTTTAATATATGATAGATTAATCAATATAGAAAAGCAAAAAATTCGAAAATATTTTTAATTACAAAATTTTCAATTTTTGAAAGAACGAAATACTTTTTCTTTCCTGAGCGATAGTTGCTTTACTCAACTTATTTTAATTCTTAAGTTAAAACGTATTAAATTAGTTTAGATTAAGTTATATATGTGGTCTAGATTAGATTAGATCATAAGACTTAAATAGTCTTCCCTCTAATATTTTTTCTTAGAAAGATTAATCAGATTTTTAAAATTTCTATTCATGTTCTTTTGTAAGCTTTAATCCTTTTAAGGTAGTGTGCGGAATCATGTCCTAACTTTAATTAAATTAAATATATACATGAGAAGAGGTTACTAAACTATTATATGGTTAACCTATGTATACGATTAAAAGTTTTCAATAAATCTAAAATAGCAGTACTACATGTCCAATATTCAAATAGGATTATTATATTTTTTTGTTTTTCAACTATATATGTTGCACATGTCAAAACATATGTGCGACAGTTGTCCTGAAAGAGTTAACTTATCTTGAAACTTTTGTCGTAGACATTTTTCTCTTTCTTGTAGTTTAAAAGTTATATATTCGAAAAAAAGAATGGAAGCAATGTTTTGATTTTGAGATCGGAATTCATACCTTCAAAAATCGATAGGACACGAATAAAGTGTACTATGTTGAGTTGCTCTACATATCCACAAAAGTTTACTCAAATCAAAGAATTCGCATTCGCAATGTTTCTTTGTGAATACTGCGTGACAGAAAAAACATGTTACTCAATATATTTTGGTTCTTAACTTTTATTGTTAGCCATAAGAATATACATATCTATCCCTGTAAGTCTATGAGATAGATTAGGTTGGGTTAGATTACGTTAAGGGAGTAATACCGTTTCTCGGCCGAAAAAGAAGGCTATTTTTGCGAATTTTTTTCTCTACGCGGCCGATTATTTTGAAACTTGGTACACTAAATACTACGTAGTTTATTTGTATGTCAGAATTTTTATAAGTATGTACGCTGCAAAATATAAAAGTTATTGAAAAATATGTGAAACTGAAATGAGCGGTTTTTACTCCATAGCACGCATAATATCTCATGACTCGTTAATCTGAAACAAGAAAACCGAAAAGATTATTAAACTAGGGACATTTAGTTATCGCTGGAACTAGGGATATTCAAAACGGATTGTTTTTCAGCAAGTTGTAGGTATTTGAAAAAAATGCCAGAAAATTCGCTTTAAAAATCGACAATTTTTCATTGAAAATAAATAGGAAAAGTTAATATATTTTAATTTCGCTAGTTCGGACGAAAATAGCACGTGTTTTGAATATGTAGCTATAAGCAGAAGTCGACCGATTCAACAGTTTGTCTCAAATCGTGCGCGTCAGTTAGAGAAAAATTATTTTGAGAAAAACGCGTTTAAAGTTTCGGATACTATTTAAGCTTATATTTCTAGTACTTAAGTTTCAACCTAATCAGCGATTCCAGGCCCATAGAGCAAACACACCCGAGTCGTTTTTTTGTTACTTAAGGTTCATAGGACCTTCGTGGACCGCATATATCTGACGAAATTTTAAATGGCTCGGTGAGCGCCGGATTTGATCTGCGCGCCGCCTCAAATAATAGGCTGTAATTTACACAATTTTTTGAATTTTTCAATGCAATAAGTAGGAATAGATTCTTAAAAATAGTTTAATAAAATGTAAAAAAAGAAAAATCGATATTTTGACCAGAGAAACGGTATTGCCCTCTTAAGTTTTTTGGTCAAGATTTGTTTGAAATAATAGTATGGAAAGAATCGTAACGTTTCTCCTCCGCTCATATATTTATCTTTTAATCCATATAGTCACAAGGCAAAGTCCACTATCATCATGCTTTTTTGCACAAAATATAATTTCAAATAAAATTCTCATATTTATGTTGGGCGTGTTATGTAAATTATTTACTGATTTTTTTCGAATGTCGGGCTATAGTCTGTATTACAAGGGTGGATCAATAAGTATCCGTGTTAAGAATAAAGTTTTTCACAAAATTTTTTTTTATTCTTCAACGTAATCTCCTTTTAGGACGATATACTTTTCCCAACGTTCCTGCCATTTCTTTAACCCCTTCAAAAAATATGATTTGTCAAACTCTTCAAAATAGGCTTCTGTCTCGACGGTGACCTCTTCGTTTGAGCTGAATTTTTTTCCCGCGTGCCACATTTTTATGTTGGGGAAAAAAGTCAGAGGGAGTCAGGTCGGACGAGTACGGTGGGTGTGGCAGTAATTCGTAGTGCAATTCATGCAATTTGGCCGCGACGATTCCGGATGAGTGAGCTGGTGCTTTGTCGTGGTAAAATAGCACTTTTTTCTTTGCCAAATGGGACCGTGTATCCTTCAATTTTTCGACGAATTGGTCCAATAATTCACTGTAGTATTGCCCCGTGATCGTGCTTTCTTTCTCCAAAAAGTCCATGAGGATTATTCCCTTCGAATCCCAAAAAATCGTGGTCATGACCTTTTCGGCCGGTGGGACCGTCTTTACCTTCTTCGGAGCAGATTCGCCCGGAAAAGCCTATTGTTTTGACTGTTGCTTGGTCTCTGGCGTATAGGAATGGATCCAGGTTTCATCAACGGTGACGACTCGACGCAAAAATTCCTGCGGATTTCGCTTAAAGAGGTCCAAACTGCTTTGAAATTGACAGCCGTATCCGCTTGTTGTCTACCGTGAGCAATCGCGGCACTATCGGGCCGACAGCTTTCTCATTCTTAACTTATCATGTAAAATATTGATTGCCATTCTATACGACACGTCTACCGCCTCTGCTATTTCGCGCACTTTCGTTCGGCGATCAACGAGAATTATGTCGTGGACCTTTTCAATGATTTCCTCAGTAACCACGTCTGCCCCGCGGCCTGGGCGCTCCTCAAAAACAGATGTACGGTTACGTTTGAATTCGTTGAACCAATACCTCACGATTGTCATAGATGGTGAAGGATCCTCATAGATAGCATCCAACTTCGTTTTTATTTCTTCGCACGTTTTTCCATCCAAAAATAAAGAACAAATTACAGATCGATATTACTCTTTTTTTATTGTATCGAAAAACGCCAAACACGTTTAATATAAATGGTTGTCAAATTAAAACTAACTTATGAATAAGTCTGAAATTTTGGCGTCGTTTGAAAGATGGTACACGATGGTAATCCCAACTTTCCTCAGCAACGCCACTTGTCTTCAAACACTGGTAATTGATCCACCCTCGTATTATTAGATCCATAGAATGGACATTGTCTCAACATAATTGCGAAAACTAGATTCTGCAACAAATATTGTTTTTCTAATAATTTCGGCCGGTACAACAAAAAAAATATAACCGTCAGATGTATACAGCATTTGAATATGGAAACATTTTATTAGATAATTTTTTGATACAGTTATGTTGTTAGATTTGGGAATTAATCTTCATGCTAAAAATATCTTGAAATTATAATCATTAATACACTATTAATTACCGTCGCTCAGATTTCGAAATTTATTTAAATACGCGTGATTTAGAAGTGAATATACTGGGTGTCCTAGAACAATATTCGAAGCTCTCGAAGAACTCTATAGATTTTTAGTTATTAATTAGATAACATTAATATATTATCGCGAGCGATCATATATTACCACCAATCTTCTTTAAGTAATAATAAAAAATCTACAAAGTTATTAAGAAAAAAAGTAAAGAACTTTTTTGTTTAGTTTGACTACATTAGATAATAGATGTTGCCTCAGCTTATCTACCATATCTCGCGTGGTCATTCACAAATCTTCTTTAATTAATATCTCGATAATTATTACGAATATCGCAAAATGATATAAGACCAGATAATAATAGTATAATATATTTTATATTTACCTTAATCCATATTATGCCTCCACAAGAGCTTTGAAGGAGCTTTCTGGGACACCCAATATATAGAATAGATTAACAAAGTTTCAAACATCGGTTTTTTGTTTTCAAAGTAATTCAAAAGTAGTAAAACTTTCATAGTCACTTATTCTTGAGGTAAAATATCGTTTTGTGTGGCACATTTCTCCCACGAACACTATCTTTGCGACCAATATATGCCATAAATATAACATACATATATTTTATTTTTATATACAAATTCTGTACTGATTTATTTGTGTTACTTTATATTAATTATGCATATATTATTACATTATTACTCCATATTACATTACTCTCTAAATTATTATTCCATAATTTATATTAGGTTTTGTTTGGCAATGTCAAGCAATCTCCTTAAGCAATGTGAATGATATGTTATATTTACAAACTACATACACGTTTATTTCTGCAGAAATAAAAAGATCTATTGTTTTGTTTTACTTTACATTGGGACTCTATTTTATTTTAACTTGATCTTATATCGAGTTATCTTTAGTATTGTACTAGAAATAAATTTTATATATATTTAATATTTTGGAAATATATTTTGAAAACTTTTAATATAAAACAAATTGCGACACTAAATGTTACTATTGTTATATTTGCACATTGATCCATACTCTTTATTTATCTAAAACGTTGCATATTATATCACTAGAATTAATTTGTTTGTATTCAGCATGAGAAAATATGCACAAAAGGCAGTCATTAAATATAGGAAAGACATACTATAGAAGGAAGAGAGCGTATTAGGCGGCGGGACGCCGTACGAGATCTGCATATCTTTTCGTTCCAGAGAGAGAAATATATCGAGAGCGCGGTTTTGTTAGGCCGGAACTTTAACCCGGGTCTTTCGCTTTGCCGGGCGATTGCTCTAAACTGAGCTACCTGACGCTCCACGCTCACGACACTCTCCTCTCTCTAGATAACGCTCAGAGATGCCGTTCCGAAGCGACATCTCTGGCGCGATCCAGAGCGCACGGCGACTACAGAGAGAAACAATGTTACTGTACTAAATGGTACAGCTGTCAGTCTCTCAAAGTCAAAAGTTGCTATCCTTTAAGACCTGCTGTCTATGTATGCCCGTCTACACCGTTGCCCTTCCTCATCAACTGGAAAGAAATAATGCAGAGCATCTACAGCGCGACGCCTATAGCACGATTATTATTTCGTTATTATTTTGTTTTTCCAAAATTTGAATCATAATATATTATATTATTATGTATGGATGGATTTGACATTCGATAATCTTTAATTTTCGTCGTTGTAGCATTTTTAAATTTTGTAAAGATAATGGGTAGGGGTGGGGAAAAATTAAAAAAATTTTGTATTTAAAAAAAATGTAAACATACCTTATATATAGAGCACAAAGATTATAAAACTTGTGTAATATATTTTTTCATATAGCTCATAGTTTCAAAGATATTCATCAAAAATGAAAAACTTCGTTATTTTTGGGGAATGTTTCAATTCCGAAACGTTGAGACACGCAGTTAAAAAAATATAGGTTTAATATTTTTTAATGTTCTATAACACATCGAAATCGGTGAAAAACAGTTCTGACGATACCCTTGATAGAAACGAATAAGGAAAAAAGCAAACGATAAATGTCAAAAGAACTCAAACTCATTCGAAATGGACACGCAGTACTCGATCAGCGTGCTGAAACATTCCAGTTATTTTTTGGCTGAACAAAATATTTACGTTGTAAATGAGCGGTGGAGCGGTCTCGGTTTTGTATCACGTGAAATTTAAACGTAATTCAGCGATATTGGAAACAGGGAAAGGAGGTTCACAAATAGGTTAAACGATTCTTTTCATTATGACGTGTCATTTGTTTCAATTTGCGGCTCATGTTTCTCCATGAGTTATGTTCATGTAGAAATATTGTTTCGAATAATGCATACGCCTAGAAATTTGGATTATTATAGTTTGGTTACGCTGTTAAATACTATATCTCGACTTTTTAAGGCAGAATGTAATAGAAAAGAATTGTAGATTTTTATTGACACGAAAAAGTCATGTCACGACAATCATGAACGAACACATGATCTGAAAATTCACTAATTTATTAATAAGAATTTTATATTATATGATGCGTACAATAATTAACGATATTTACAAGGGAACTTCGCGAACCCGAAAATTAAAATTTTAATGAAACTTTGTACACACACACACACACACACACACACACACACACACACACACACACACACACACACACACACACACACACACACACA